TGCATCTCCCTATGGCGGGGGGTTCTTGCATCTGCTCGAGCCCCTGCCCTGGTCTTCTTTCTCTGTCACAAGGGAGGGAGGGGGCCTAGAGTGTCCACCTAGGACAGGTAGACAGGAGCTCCTGGAGATGGCATACCGGCAGATGGACCCTTTTGAAGACGGTCGCTGCCCCTTAGCCTCTCCTTTTCACCTGTGTCCCTGGGCTCACCCCAGCTCGGTGGCTCTGTGGGCCCTTGGGGACTCACACAGTGGTTCTCTGCCTTCAGCAGGTCAACATGCCTTACGTTATGATCCCAGCCTTCCCCCCAAGCCACCAGCCTCTGCCCGTCACCCCCGACTCCCAGCTGGCTCTGCCTATTCAGCCCATCCCCTGCAAGCCAGGTGAGCGGGGCTGGGGTTGGTGGGGGGGGCTGGCGAGCTGTGAGGTCGTGTGGAAGGAGGCGCCTGGAGCCATTTTTGCTGCGGAGTCTTCTGGGCTCCAGTTTCTGGGTCTGGCCAGGGAAGAGGGACTCTCCTTTCCCGCTCCACTGGGCGAATGAAAAGACGAACACCTTGGAACCGGTCAGGTGCTGCCGGCTGTGAGGGCTGCCACACCGGCTTGGGCTGGTGTCTTCCCAGCTCTGGGAACAGAACCCTGAACATGAAGATATATTTAAAAAAATAATAATAATGCAATGTGTCATTTTATATCTTTTTAATATTATTTTACTTTTATTCATTGGGAGTTAATCCATATATCATATCATCCCATACATAGTTCAATCCGTTTCCAAACATTTTTTTCCTCCTGGACTCCTTGACATCATCCCTCTTTTAAACACCTCCCCCCCCATTCCAAAATCCTTATTCTACTTGCTGCCTCTATGGGTTCACCAATCCTGAGTTTCATGTACCGAAAACACGACTTCAGGGTGACCTCCAGTGACATCACCTCATTGTGCTTCTTAACGGCTGCGTTCGTGGACACTGATTGTGTGTCCAAGATAAATGAAGTCTCTGATGTCAATCATTTCTCTGCTTCTCACGACGTTACCTGTTGCTCTAAGTTGGGAGGATTACTGTTTTCTTTGCATCATGTTCTGGATGCGAGGATCTTCAGGATCGACTGAGACTTGCACTGCCTCCAAGTTGCAACATGTTCACTCCTACCCTGACCGTCACTGAGATTTCACACACACACACACACACACACACACACACACAC